TTTTAAAAAATGCCAGGCAGAACAATCCCAGCCAAATTCCTGATGTCAACTAAAGCCATTCTGCATGCTATTTATCCTGCTTTCCTATTCACCCCCAGCATCTGGTCCACTACTTCTGGATATGGAAGTTCTACCTCATCCTCAGTGTTCATTGTAGTAATTAGCCTCATCCACCAGGACAGTCAATCTCAACTTCACACTGTCATGTATGGACTGCAGCTTACATGCTACCAGGGAACTGGAGAGGAATGGAATGGAATGGAATGGAATGGAAGATAGATAGATGATAGAAGGTAGGGTAGGGTAGGGTAGGGTAGGGTAGGGTAGGGTAGGGTAGGGTAGGGTAGGACAGGACAGGACAGGACAGGACAGGACAGGACAGGACAGGACAGGACAAGACAAGACAAGACAAGACAAGACAAGACAAGACAAGACAAGACAAGACAAGACAAGACAAGACAAGACAAGACAGAATAGAATAGAATAGAATAGAATAGAATAGAATAGAATAGAATAGAATAGAATAGAATAGAATAGAATAGAATAGAATACTTTATTTGGCCATGTGTGAGTAGACATACAAGGAATTTGTCTGATGCAGAAGCTCTCAGTACACACAAAACATGTACACTGAGAGTTATATTGCCAAAACATCTGAGAATGAATCTATTTCATGTATATAACCCATTTTTCCCCCCAACATCTAATCTTGTGGCCATCGCATCCCTTTCCATCGCCTGATGAAGCAGCACAGACAGTGGTTGAAAAAAAAAATACACTTCCAGTTCTCCCAACCAAAACAAACCTTACTTTCACAGCAGCTACAGGTGCTGGAAAACATGAATGCCAATGCATTGCCAAGGCAAGCAAAGATGGAGAAGAAAGGAAAGGGGGGGGGGAATCACCCTGATTTCTAATTCCAGCAATCAGGACCATCAAGATGAAAAACTACATGTTTCTCCACCCCCCTCCTTTCCTACCACCCACCCCCACACAGGACAGGTTGCTCCAATTTTCAGCCGACTCTGCTCCTTATCACCCACCCCATCCGCCATCTGCTCCCAGGGGTGCCACGAGAAAAGCACCCAGCTACTTATGAGCTTAAGCTCGTAGAATGAGACGTAGCAGTAAAACCCAGTGCACCAACCCCGAGCTTTTTAACAGTTCATCGTGATATATTATTAATCGTTTTTATAATGCGCTTGCATAGATTGCTGTTGCTCGGGGCTCTGTTCTGTACCTAGGATTGGCAGGGAAGAAAAATAACGAAATAGGGCAGACTGATTTCCTTTCTTTTCTTGTTTTGCCCCTTCTTCCACAGTGGCCCTGGAGAAAGAAGCTGTAAAAAAATACCAGCCAGGGAGTCACACTACAAGCTGAGCACCCAGCTGCAGGCACAAAAGAAGATCGCCAGGACAGAAGGAATGTTTAGGGAAGGCAAAGTTTGCGTGCCTGGTTTGGATCAGCTCTTAAAATCTGTTCCCTCCTCTGCACCCCGAATCTAGGCATGGTCTTTGCATGCAGCTTGCAGAGAAAAAGGGAGAAATTCATGCCAGATTCCATGTCATTCCACCTACACCAGTTTTCCAGACCTGTGGAAAAATCTAGTTTTTATTTTCCACTTGGGGAGACCAAAAATAAAAAAGTAGACCAAACTCAGTTGAGTTATGATGGCGTAACCAGATCCCGTATTTCAACCCCAGCAAGTTTATTCAGTTCTTGTTTGTGAAAAGCAAGCATGGGGCAACTTTGGAGGTCCTATATAGGGCAGGGGAAGGAGGCAAAGCCGGAATCTACTTCTGCTGTGGGTTCAATTCTATACCATCAGCTTGTAAACCCTTTGGTTCTCACCTAGCCTGCATAATCAGACTTTCTCAATGGAAAAGTGTCAGTTACAAGTGTGTATTGTGGCAAGGGAGGGGATGAGACATTAACTCCTAGCGATCCTGAGAGCACTGCCGCGGGCAGGTATTAAGATACTTGGGGAGGGGCAGGCTGCTTGTCTCAATCTCCCCCCAAAACACACAGCACGGCTTTGCTTCATTCTGCATTGTAGGGTCAGCTGCAAACCACCCATTAAGAGCAACTTCCCAAGCAGATCCTGGCATTTCTCTTTTCCCAAACCTACTAGCTTCTTTCTGCCTTCCTCAGCCAGGTCTTTATTAAAGGCCCAGCGGGCGAAAAAAAGGGAGGTCTGAAAAAGAGAGGTCTGAAAAAGCAAGATGATGGTGGGCTGCAGAAAACCGAAAGAATCCCCTAACCCAGAAGATATTTTCTAGGATCTCTAGTGGTTACTGCAGGTTTTGCATTCACTGTTGTAGAATAAAGGAGCGATTTATCAAGGGAAAGGAAGGATTTGCACGCACCAAGACATGCAACCAACAGGGGAGGGAAACCATGGGAAAGTAACCCACAAACTCTTTCCAAATAAAACAGATCCATGGCAGAAATAAAAAAGAACGGGCTGAAGATATGAGCAAGCAGAAATCAAAGGGGCCCACTTCAAAACCTCCTTCAGCCATTCCTACAAGTGCGTCACGATCCTGAGCCTGCAAAGAGCGCACAGCCCTCAGCAAGGCAATCCAGACATTGGAACTACAACTTGCAATTGGCAAATCCGGAACCAGCTTTATCTGAGCTGCTAACGTTGCACGTGTTCCTCGTGTTTGGGGTATGGTCTGGAATGCCCAACGAGGAAAGACAGCTGGGAGATGGGATCCGGGGACGGCGTTGCAAACCACAGGACTGTATAATTTCAATCAGAGGCTGGAAATGAAATTATTTCAGCCCTCTTCTTCAGACAGATGAGCAATGGATCTTAACTGAAAGCAACGGACCCATGCCTTTCCCTTTTTCCATTCAGAAAAAAAACAAGCTGGTTATCAAGCTTTAAAACTAGACAGACCTCTCCCCTAAAAATCTAGGAGCAGGGTGAATTCAAGAAAGGGCACGTGGCAACAATTCTGGCAGGAAACAGAGGGCAGCCAGAGATGTCCTGGATCTTCCAAGGAAGATGCAGGCACTCGGGGAAGAAAACAAGGACCTGGTTTGGGATCAAGAAGCAAAACAGAACCTCCATGTTCTGAAGCAGCTAAGCGCACCACAAATACAACAGTCACACTCTGACTTCTCTCTGGCTAACACTTCCTGAGTTTTAGCAAGCAAGCAGAGCCAGATGTTTATTCCATGAATCTGTCTTTTTTCCATAACAAGGGATTTTTTTAGAGGGTTTTTTTTTTCCCTTTTCCTTTCTTCTTTCAAACGTTATTGTATTTTATCTTATTTTATTACCGCTTTGGACTATTGTTAGCTATCCTGGATGGGGAGTAAATTGTAATTAGCTATCTCATGGCAGCTGAAAAATGTTTGCACTGAAAAAATAATCAACTGAAAAGCGAAAGGTCGCTGCAGCCCATGCAGCGAAAGCTCTAGACTCAATGGAGCCCTGGGTCTGATCCAGTACAAGTGGTTTTAGAGAAACTATTAGGCCAGAGAGTTCAACAGAGCCTCCAAATCAGGGGCAGTATACCTGTGAGTACCAGTGACATATTAAAATTGTTCTCTTGGTGTCCCGTTTTTTGAAGTCCTACGGAAGAGAAAGCTGGAACAGATTGATTCATCTTCTCCTGACATTCTGGACTACATTTTCCACAAACCTTTGCCTCTAACCCTATGGAAGCCTAAGCCTAAAATACTGAATCGAGAAGGCATCTTCTCAATTGCCTATACTTGAGTTGGATGGGTCTCCTTTGGTCTAGGAGAACTTATTCAGGACTGAGAAAATCATTCTGTTGGATCAGATCAAATAACGTCTAGTCCAGCATCTGTTCTCTTCAAGACTAGTCTCTGGGAAGCCTGCAAGTCAGATAAGAACGCCAAGCTACCCACAAAAACTGGTAAGGAGAGCCCTCGTGCCTCTGACAGGGGGGAGGGGGCAGGCATAAAATGGCTTGCTGTCCGTCTTCAGAGCGTTCCTCCATCTTATAGAATGTACTCTGGGCAGACAGGCAACTGAGATTAATATTGAAGAAGAAAAAGTCGCACTCCACACAGACTGATAGCTCTGTGTTGGATGCACTCTGCTTATGCTTAGAGGCACCAGATCCAGAAGTAAAAGCAGCCACTGAAAATGGCCCAAAGGCTACAGTAGGCCTCCTGCCAGCCAACAGACCAGTTTTCCACAAGCAAAAGCATCAAGTTGTAAATGCTGAACGTTGGAGATGGAAGGGACATCTTTTCCATCAACCCTAAAAGAACACTTGCTCAGCTCAAAATCCCAGCTACCCCCAACTATCTGCCACTCTCTTTCATGTTGCATCCCATGTAACCAGCATCATCAGCCTTCAATTCTGAGCGTTAAGCCAGCACTGACTCAAATTAAGCCAGGAGGCAAAACAAGAACACAAGGTAAGTGTGGGAGATGCCCAGGAGATGCCCATTCCTCTTGGAATTGGGGAATCTAGCTGGCCATGACACCAATTAGTACTAACTTGAAACCCTTCACCAACTCCAAAGTTGTGGGCATGGTGAGATGGAAAGCCACTCTGCACATGCTTGTATGACCTAGCGTTGATCAGTTTACTGCATCCAGTCGCTTAAGTCTGACAGGCCAGGGTAGCAAAAAAAAACAAACAAACCAGTGCATATACAAGCTCAAAACACACTTTAAAAAAAACCCTGATTGTTTGCAAATCCATTTTGCACACGGTGTTACTTGCAATTTCCCCAGAATTGTATTGCTTCTCACAAGCGGCAAAAACACACACACACACAAAAAAAAAAAAAAAAAACCCAGCTAATTGGCAGGAGGAGTTCCAGGCAGTTGGGTTAAATTCTGTGCCTTTTGCCTGGATTCAGACCAAAAAGCCTGTCGCGGGTTATTGCTTTGCAAAAGATGCTGCTATCAAAGCCGGTTTCTTCCCCACCTCATTAAACCCCCGAGCGACCCTCCCCTTCATCATCATCATCATCATCGGCGGCGGCGGCGGCGGTTCACTCACCGTGGCTGAGGAGGGCTCCGATGCAGCAGAGAAGGGCGGCGGGTCCGGAGCGCGCCCTCCTCGCCAAGGCCATGGCGGAATCCGGAGCGAAGCGTGGAGGAAACCGAATCCAAAGCACGTGCGATCCGAAACAGAAGCCAAAGACTGAG